GGGGGGGGGGATTGTTCTTTTAAACATTGCCTTTCTCGCTTGAAATCTGACATAAAGCTTTATGGTTCTGCTACTGGACTTTTATTCACTAACAGCTGGTTGGATCTTGTTATAGCTTAGAACCTCTCATTGATCCAGATGTGTTGCCTTTCAGGAGGGTGGCTTAAAGCTGACATTTCAGAAGCAAGGGATTCCTCAGAAAAGGCCTCTGGATGGTGAGGAGGCACTGGGACAGCAGCAGTATTTGGCTCGACTACAGGATCTTCAGAATGCCTCTGAGGCCAGCCTTGTAACCTTTCCAAAACCCTTGGCAGCATCAGGTAAAAATGTAGTGAAATCTTATTGTTAATTATGTTCTTACACTTTGCTCTTGTCCTCATTTGATGCTGCTTTATTAAAAAATGTCACCGTACATGAAGTGGTGCTGTTATTAATAAACATCTGAATTTTTTGAAGGTACTTCTAATACACTATCAACTCCTGGTATGAATGGCATGGCATCAGATGCTCAGCCAGCTGTCAAAAAAAGGAGAGGAAGGAGGAAGAATGTAGAAGGAGTTGATATCTTGTTTATGAACCGGAATAAGATGCTAAATCACGTGAGTCACATTATTCATGGATTGGGTTTGAATCCTTACTGAAAACAGTAAAAGATTACATTTTTTGATTTACCTTTTTTATCAATGTAGTACTGGCTTGTTTGCGATATTGGACAGAGATGACAACTGCCCTCATCCTGCCACTGTCGGCAATAGCTTGTCTGTGAAATGTCAGTTATCTACCCCACCCTTTCTATTGGTATAAACATGAACCTTAACAATGTGGAAGCCATAAAAGCTGGAATTGTGATTTAAATGTGAGAACACTTTGCTAATAGATTGTTCTCTCAACACAATTCAGCATGAAAGCCAAGGAGTTCATAGGTTTTTATAAAGGGACATGTACTTTAAATAAATTGAGAAACACCACTAAAAACCAGGGGTATTTAAATCTCGTCGTGGAACGAATTAAGTTAGTGAACCGAGGTACCACTGTACATACAATTCACCTATTTACTGTTGTGGAGGATGAGGTGGACAGTTTCAAACGAAACTTTTCGTCCGATGATCGAACCGTCGTACGATTTTCGCACGACAGCCCCATCCTGCCCCGATTATCGAAAGGCTCAATCAGCGGTAGTTAAAAAAAAAAACATCTGGACGACTTGCCGTAATTGACCGCAATTATTTTAGTTTGCGCATGCGCAGTGTTAATCGTACGACTTTTGACGGACGGAAACGCCACCAACCATGCGAACATCGTACGATCGACCAAAGTTTGCAAACATGCTTGACCTTCAAAAGTCGTACGATTGTACAGTACTATCGGTCGGGCACTCTATTCACATGTTACGATTGTCGTACGAAAAGTCGATCGCATACGATTATCGTAAGGTGTATGGGCACCTTTAGAGTTTCACTGCCCCTCAAACAAGATTCATTGTAGTTTAAGCAGTAAACTTCTGTCTATAACTGTCTCTATTATTATGGTATCTTGATTTATGTTCATTTAATAACATGTTTAATATACAGTATTTTTTTAACTATATACAGGGGAGAGGTAATGTGTGCAGTACCATTTTCTCCTCAGACCATCTATGTATACATAGCTACATTCTGGGCCATCCCAATGTAATGCCAAACTTTTACAATGCCAATTGATTTTCTTGTGTTGCAGGTGAACCCGGCTTTGGCTCCTTCCTTATCTCAGCCTTTATCTGGCCATCAGGTGCTTCCAGGAGCACTGGATGCAGACAGCCCTGTCCCTGTCATTAACTTAAAGGATGGCACACGGCTAGCAGGGGACGATGCACCAAAAAGAAGGGATCTAGAGAGCTGGCTTAAAGCACATCCTGGTTATGTAGAAGACCGGGGGGCTTTTATACCTGTAAGTTGTTTTATTGCAATATTTATTCGTATTAGTTTCTTTTGTATTATTTTGAAAACTAGTTGCCTTGCATTTTTACTTCACTTTGGAATCTATTTTTTAAAGAGAACCTGTCATTTAGCCCTTCAGAGTAGGTTGACACACCTACTCATATTTACCTTCCCTGCTCTCCCCCACTGGTCCATTAGCTACAGGATCCCTTCATGTAAACTTTGTATAAGCTCTAGCTCAGCCAGTGCTTACACATTTGGTGAACTTTCCCTCTCCCATACATGCCTATGTCCCGGCCTGGTGATTGGCAACTAAAACCCAATCCCTGCATTTTAGAAGGAGGGGCAGAAGGTCATATCCAGAAATGGCAGATATTTATCAGTGTTCCTGCAGGCGAAAAATATTTGGTTATGTGAGTAAATGTTAATCGTATAGTATTTGTTTGTGTTCAGAGAATGCAGCTTCATGATGGTAGGCCCAAACAGAAGAGGCACCGATGTCGGAATCCCAACAAGCTGGATGTGAACAGCCTTACTGGAGATGAACGTGTTCAGCTCATCAACAAGAGAAACGCCAGGAAGGCAAGTGGACCTAATGAGTGGCCATCCATGTGTGACCTGAAACTAATGCAGTTGATAGGGCATCTTTTGTGGTAACTAGGCTTTGTAGACATAAAAGCTAATCAAGCTCAAGTTTTTGGAAATGCTTGTTATGACTTAAATATAGCCTAGCATTTTTTCAAATATCTGCATCTAATAAGAGTTTATTCACTTTTTTAAATTCGATAGGAAACTATTACTTTAAAGCAAACTTTTGCCCTAGTTGAGAAGAATATTTGTTTCAGTCTGTGTGTCTACAGCTGGCGTGAGGGTGGGCAGACCTCTCACTGGCTTTGTATCTACACATAAAAAAGGGAAACGCTGGTAATTAAATGCTAAACGGGAAGTTGTACAACTTTTCTTTGAAACAATATACACTGGAGAGTGATAGTTTTTATGAACCGTTAATACACAAGAACAGGAAGATGTCACGCAATGGTCTTTCCAGGTGGCCCACAGAAAATACATTACATTGACAATACAGCAGTAGATAAATCAAATATGTTTTTCTTAACACAACAGTTCATACTATTTAACTTTCTGCAAAGCCTGGACAAGCACACTTGGTTATTAAACATAGAATGTTATACTTATTGCAAATATTCTTAAGATGAGAGAAGAGATAACAAATACAGAGTACTTGCCAATGCTAGAAATTGATACATGGGAGGGGCAGGGAGCCAAAATCTATTTCTTATGGCATATGTCAGTAACACCAGAACAAAGTGCTTGCAGGTATTAAACATGTTCATTAGATTTGCAGAAAATGGGATGTTTCATATTTGATAACCACATTTTTTAGTTAACGAACAAACTTTACCAGTAAGTGATTACTGTGACAACTGAAACGGTTGGAATCACTCATGGGTATACAGTGTATAGTTTGCACTTTGGTCTCTTGCATGCAAACCAATAAGCATTTCATCAAGAATGAACCTGTGGTGGGTGTAATAACTCTAGTATTATTTTATTGGCCACTACTGCTAAAGCCCAACTGAGATTTCAATTTAAATTAGCAAAATACTTGTTCAGTTGCATCAAAACAAAAGGTGCGAAACATCTTTGGAAGGAAGCCACAGCTTAAGTAGAAAACTCCATGTCCTGTCAGCATGCTGATGTTAGCCTAATTCGCAAAGAGCATTACCTTTGCTATTTCCCAAGAAGCTTTTGGTAAAATCAGTGGAGGAAAGCAGAATTAAAATAGAACTCCAGTCAAAAATAACAAGATAAAATAACAAAAACAGTGTTACTGTATTTGTATTTAGCTTTGATCAAGAGATTTCCACTTGCCCAACGAAGTACTGATGGGGTGGTCATAATAATCTGGGCACTCAGTGTATATATATTTATGTATATATTATAATTTTTTATTCACTTATTTTTTTACCAGTTCACCTTCAGTGTGGCTTTTGGTGTTTTGGAACCGTGCAATAGTTTTTAAATGGTTTCTGTCGGTCAGGGAAGCAATATTTGACTATCACGGACTTGTTCTTTTTATAAAGACAGTCATGTGATCTCCATTTCGGCACTGTTATGGCAATCACATGACTTTGTTTATCAACAACATGTTGATAATCCATGCCATATCATAGGCAAATCCTTGGTCTGACATGGCTTTGTTTGTATACAAAGCCATGTCACACAGTGCCTAGTTCTTACAGCTAGGATCACTGCTTGCTCTTGGCCTTAACGGGTGCCATTTTTTAAGTAATTTTTTCCCAGCAATGCCACATGATAAAAATAGAGCCGGCAATTACAAAAATTGGTGAATTGCTCGCTCTTCCAGTAAATACTGAGCCGTAGTGGTGATAGACTTTCTTTTAATGTTTTCATCACTCACAATATTATGGCCACTTCTGCTGTCAAGTTTACTTAATTCAGTGGTTTTGGAGGGAACTGCCCTCTGATTCAACCTATATGGTTTGTTGTATATAACTCTTTTGGCTTGTGTTTAGGTTGGGGGAGCATTTGCCCCTCCCCTTAAAGACCTGTGCCGATTCCTGAAGGAAAATCCAGAGTACGGAGTGGCTCCCGAGTGGGGGGACGTTGTAAAGCAATCTGTGAGTACAAATCATTGTATGTTTATATTTAGCGCTTTTAGCTTTACTGAAATAAGGGTACACCCTTCAGAAAGTGTGTGGCCACAGAGTCCGGATACTTCTGTCTGCACTTGGGGAGTTTTCTGAAGCATTCTGTTAATTAAAAATGTAACCCAATCACCTAAATCTATAAAAGTCATTTGTATCATTCTCCGGTGTTTACTGCTTATTGTGTGCTTGCTGTGCCACAATTTTCTAAGAATGTTATTAGGACTATATGTACATTTTACAGTGTCCACTTAGCTTAAGTTCTCACCTCCACATATTTTGTTTACCTGGAGCAGAATTTTACTTTAGATTTGCTATAAAACAACTATAATAGGGGTACCCTGCAGTTAGGTTATCTAGGATCTGCTATTAAGGAATAAAAGTAATCATCTGAAATATGAAGGAAACCAAGGACTGGCTCCTAATGTTTTTACATGGCTCAGATAGCCGCAACAGCTAATGAAAAGTGAGACCCTAGCACAATCTTTTGTTAAAGTTTATGCCTTGTAATTAAAAGAGACTAATGTGGATGATTTGGTGATTATATAATATATATAAAAATTAAAATATGTACTTTTGATGTCTTTATTGACAATATGGTGTCTCTTAAAGTAGATTTGTTGCTATGCTGTTTCTTAGGCAGTAAATGAGCTTCACACAAGCCCTCATTGGCCTCCGGAGCTGCTGGTACTGTAAAACAATTCATCATCAAAGTTCCCATCTTAAGAAGCAGTAAATGAGCTTTAAACAAGCGCTCATTGACCCCTGGAGCTGCTGGTACTGTACAGCAATTAATCATCAAAGTTCCCAACAGAAGCACTAAAATAATTCAAGTCCTATCAGCAGCACAGCTCACCCTGTTCCCACCTCCTAGCAGTGACTTTGCAGCCTTTCCAACCTTCTAATCTCTAATTTACAGACAGAGCAGATGTTCTGTTAGGGGAAGTGGAGCTTCTGAGAGAAGGACTTGAACAGCTTCAGTGCTTCCACTGTAACCTTTGAGGATGTATTGATCAACAGTGTTTGCAGCTGCAGGGGTCAGTAATGGCTTGTTTTACAACTTATTTACTACTTGCAAAGGAAATGTCAAAAATTGGATGTCAATAGCCTGATTACAGATTTCACTTTAAGGTCATGGGTAAACATTTGGTAATGGGATACATTCTCTCACCTAACAGAGCTATTTTTGTTCCTTTCCTCTATAGGGTTTCCTCCCAGATAGTATGTTTGACCGTATCCTAACTGGCCCTGTGGTGCGGGAGGAAGTGAGCAGGAGAGGCAGGAGGCCAAAAAGTGAAATTGCCAGGGCAGCAGCAGCCACAGCAGCTGGAAACTCTGTCAACGTCAGCCCTCTGCTAGCAAATGGCCTTATCCCAGGCATGGATATTTCCAGCTACCAAGCTTTACAGCAGAACTTCCAGAGTCTCCAGTCTTTGCAGCTGACAGCTGGATTAATCGGCTTGCCTGCAGGTCTCTCTGCTTCTGGTGGAGATGCCAAAAATATGGCCGCCATGTTCCCAATGCTGCTGGCTGGATTACCCAATCTTTTGGGTATGGGAAACCTGTTGAACAAATCCTCAGAGCCCAGTGCCAAGGAGAAAGCGAAGAACTGTACAAATGACTGCAAAGAAGCTGAAAATGGCAAAGAAAGGACGATGTCCCCTTCTGGTGACAAAGCCAGGCAGAACTCAAGCCCTCCTTCCACATCTATGGGAACTGCTCTACAAGCAGGTTCCTTATCTATCAACCCACTGCTGTTACCCAATATACTCTACCCAGGGATGCTTCTCACTCCAGGCCTTAATCTTCACATCCCAGCTGTGCCGCAACCGAACATTTTTGAAGTACAGAATACTAGCAAAGATGCTGGTCCAGTAGCTGTCCCAGATTCCACCGCAGAATCGCCTCCTGCCCCCAGCCAGAAAGAAAAAGCGAGGAATGAGGTTGGCTCTCAAAATGAGAACAGCACAGATGACTGTTCTGAGAAGGCAGAACCTTCCTCAGGATCAAACAGCCCCTCTTCTTCCTCGTCTGAGGACTCGGATTCTTCGGAGGAAGACTAACCTTGACAAAACCTGCACTTAAATTATGAAACAGCCCTTTCCCTCCCTCCCACTTTAAACCCTCTCTTGCCTACAATTATTTTAATTGTAAATAATGTGTTACAAGTGCATCAAAGGATTTTAAAGACAAGCAGACATTTCAGTATTCTGAAAATGCAAACGGCGTTTTAAGAAAACGTTTTGCATGTAATATTCTCACAGAGACTTACTTGTATGTAATATCAAAAAAACAATACACACTGTGCTGTAAGAAGCTTACAGCAAAAGGCATTACCTTTTGTTTGAGGGAAGCCTGGGGTAATTTTATGGAAAAAAAAATTTAAAAAAAGACAAAAAATAGGAAATAAAAGGCAAGCTCGCTCTCTAAGAGCTGTATATAAATAATATATTTGCAGTGAAACACAGAATCCTCTGAGTATATTGTGGTTTTCCTTTCTGCCTTTAGTTTTTACAATTTTCCTCAAACGTATCACTTAACAGAACTCAGCAATAATTTGGGCAGTTGACGAATGTCGTGGAAATGTTTAGTAGCTGTGTTTTATTTCACCGTAAAGGGAAATGATCATGAAATTGTTTATTTTATTTTTTATTTGTAAGTTATGGTAGCATCATTCAGCATATAGGCACCAAGATTATTTATTTAAATATTATTCATTTGGGAATATACACTTTGACTCTAAAAGAGCCTCAATTCTGCCTCTCCTATGTGAAAGCACAAAGCTTACGCCCCTTTCCTTCACAACGCTGTGCGCTAAGTAGCGATGACGCCGCGGCGATCCTTTACAAAGTAAAAGAATTAATGTAGAAATGTTTAAGAGGGTTTCAGAGATGAACTGCAAAATGTCATACCATGGAGGATTGTATAACCGGAATAACAAAGCATTTAAGTTGTTTAACATATTTGGATCTTTGAAAGTATTAGTACATGTACTAATTAAGTAATGTACATAACTCATAACTGAGTGGGCATTGGTGGGTTCAATCGCCACCCAGCTTACCACTCTGGCTTACAGTTGGCAGGGAAATATTCCCCAGGTATCAGGGAAACATTTCCGCACTGCACATGCAAAAGAAGCTGGTGAATGATTAAAGCTGAACTCTAGGAAAACTGCTAAATACATAAATATATAGAAGCTGTATTACCTGCCAAAGGATGTATTTCTGTTCAGCCAGCCCCGAGATTTACACATCCCCAGATACAAGCAATTGAACTGCAAGTTTGAAAATTACTTGCTAAACTATTGCTGGACTTGCCAAGCTTCACAATTTTGTTGCACACTTACAGCAAGTCTGCATTGCAAGCCTCCAGATCAGCATGCTTTGCAAAAGTGCTGTACACTTGCAGAGCTCTTGGCAAGACCTGCCGGACTCTTGCTGTAGACTTGCCAAGCAAATTTGCTACAAATTCAAAAAGTGTCAACTAGAACTTGTGCTGCAAGTGTTCTGCAAGTCTACAACTTGCCAAGAATATGTGCAGCAAGTTAACAAAAATTACAATTTCACCCCGCCACAAGTTTGTAGCAAGTTATCCTTGCTATTTGGGTCCCAGCCAGGCCGGTGACCTGACTTTTTTTTTCTTTACTGCAGATATGCAACTCAGCCTGGTCACTTCCCTTTCCCTAACCTGTGATTGGACTGTGTAGGAGAGTGGGAGGCTGATGAGGTAATTTCTCCCCTACTGTCAGCATGTTCCTAGTCCGCACTAGTGGATTAAGCACACCTAATTGGCTATTAGTACTGCTCTTACTTTATGAAGCGCGGCTTTGCAAGGAATGATAGAAGGCTAATACCAAGTCAGATTCAGTTACTTGTGCTATCTGCATTGTAGAATACACTCTGCCTGGAGTTCAGCTTTAAACCTGCTATGTGGCAGAGTCTACTCCTATCTTTATTTGACTGGTCAGTTTTCCCCAATCATGTTGCAGTATAAGATTTATACCATTTTATGAACTCGATGGTGATTTGCAAAGGGTTTTTTCCGATTTGTTGCCGTAAGCCCTGTATCAGTATGCTATTTTGTATCTCTGATGACTCTTAGTGCCACAGATTGTTTGAACCCGATATGGTACTGGTGTATTAAGACACCTGTCATTAAAAGCACTTATTTTGTTATCTTGATGAAATGACATGTTGAGCGATTTGTATTTTTGTCAATATACCTAATTTTAGGAAATGTATCATTTTCTATTTTCTGTAACGTTGTATGGACTCTCAGGCAGATGCAGCGTGGCTTTAATTAGAGCATTTCATTTGCCCATGTAGGGAACGATTCTTTTCCTTGTCCTTTTTGATAAGTCTGAAGCTTTTATATCTGTGCACTGCAGCAAGTACCTGTTGGGGCTTCCTGGTCATGTAACCAAAGTTAGCTCCGCGTGTGCCAAATTTGTTTATAATCAGTAGTACGTGGGGGACTGAACAATAGTACTGTCCGCTTGAGTTTGCATTTGTTTTGTCATTTCGATCAGCTACTTTAACCTTCCTGGCGGTAATGCCGAGTGTGGCTGGGGGTTAATTTTCAGTACCAAAAGCGGTAACCCCGAGCCACACTCGGGGTTACACTGTGCGTCACTTACCTTGTCCACGAGCCCCGCTGTGTCCTCCTCCGGCCCATGCCGGCATCCATCTTGCGGGTTCCGTCCCTTGCGAGCGTCCGCGTTGCAGGGGGACGGAACCGGCGGAAAATGTAAAAGTAAAAAATAGAAGAAAAAAAAACTGAGTTAATCAGACTGACAGGGAGGTTAAAAGATAAGCGTGCCTTTGAAATATTTTATTTTGGTGAAGCAAGTTTCCAGATATAACCTTTTACCCTTCTTCCATCTTTTCTTCTGTCCATTCAGACCTGCCATCAAAGGTCTATTCAATTTAGAGTACATTAAGCCTGTAATGCAGGGGTAGGCTACCTCGGCAGTCTAGCTGTGTTGAAATTGCAAATCCCACCATGCCTCTGCTTTTGAAAGTCATGCCTGTGGCTGTGAGACTTGCAACGCATCATGGGACTTGTAGATCCACAACAACTGGAGTGCCGAGGCTGCCCACCCCGCTATAAAGCATCTTTTACAAGCTCTGAGCATTGCAGTGAAGAAGATGCAAAAAAAAAAAACCAGAAAGGCCATGTTATTAACCCTTCAAATGTGCATATTTGCTCAAAATTAGCTGGCTAGGTTCACATTGAATGTTTATGGTTTGGAACACAAAACTAAACGTACATCATCGTGTATGCTTGATCACTGCGTTTCTGACAGGAGTTTAGAGGAAATTGAATTTGGGGTACAGCAATCACTCCTATACTAGACTAATCAGCTCCATCCGTCCTCCCACCCTCTTCACAAGCAGGCAAGCCGCCCTCCACTCCTACACACAGACGGGCTCCGGCTCTCCCCTCCTCTTCACAACATAGGCGTTTGACTACGGCCGCCCCCCAGGAAGGTGCCGCCCTAGGCAAACGCCTACTTTGCCTCGCGGTAAATACGCCCCTAAGACGTAAGCAATTTACTCATTGCACTGCAGCGCCAAAATGTACCATAAAGCTGCATTTTGCAGACACATTTTACATACATTGTGTTCCACTTACATGAGTTTTATGGAAAAATGCAGAGCCAGAGTTCAGCTCCCTAGAGTCCCATGAATAATGGAACCCCCAAAATGTGGCTTCTGCACATAAAAACTGCTTCAGACTGAACCAACTGGGACAGGGGGAAATGAGAAACCCTAAAAGCATGGGCTTGGTAAAATGATACAATTCAAAGACAACACAGTTTGCTTAAGAGACCAAAAATGGGGAACAAATAACCGGATCCCTGGTATTATAAAGAAACTTCTAAACACACAATTAGTGCTATTAATGATGGATGATCTTTAAGCAGTAATGGATTGCTTTAACCTGGAAAAATGTAGAAAAGTTGGTGAAACAGTCTAAACGCCACCACTAAATCAGTGGAATAATTAAAGTGGATCTCCAGGCAATTTTTTTACAAATTATTTCAGCTGTGTATTAATTAACAAAACATTAAATTTATTTTTGCATTCATTGCTTTAGTCCCTTTATTACAAATACTTATATATGTCTTTATTATTAGCCTTCTCTTATTCCTGCAAAATTGATTTATTGTCCAATCACAGGCTGGGGGAGGAGAGGTGAGAGAACTTCAGCAGACATTTTTTCCTATAGTCGCCCATCAGATGGGTGAGTAGCAGTATTATGATTTTAAGGGGGGTAGTTTATTGAACTGTGCACACAGAGGATACTTGCTAGTATGCCTAAGGTAGGACATGTATACGGAGCAGATAAACTGAAATGTTGAGGGTTTTTTTTTGCCTGGAGTTCCATTTTATCATTTAAAATGTATAGTACTTGTCAGTATTTAACAGATCTACATTTCCCTCTAGAAAGTTAGTGCCCCCCGTGACTCACTGTTAAGGGGGCCAATGCACATGCTGCCTTGTTAAATACTGTACCCATCACTGTCAATATGAAAGACACCATTCTCAGGTATTGCAGCATCCTTTTAAAATGTTCTCATTGGTCTTTGTGGTCATTGCTGGGTCAACCAAGTGTAAATTTCGAGCAAAGAACACTATGAAAAAATACAGCTGCTGCCTTAGGAACCAATCAGATTGTATCTTTAGGAAAATGAAACAGAAAAATCTAGATGGTTATTGTTTTCTTCAGTTTTAATAATAAGTCAGCCCGATAGATTAGGGAAAATTGCATAGATTCTCAAGTCTTGTTGACTCCCAATAAGTTGCCCAAGCCAAGTACCCATGAAGCTGCTGCACTGGCAAATATAATGTTATTCCATTGTGAACTACATCCAAGCCACCAGCTAAACATTATAATATTGTACAAATCAGGATGGTATGTTTGAATCTGCATTTTTACTGTATTCTTTGTTGTTACCTCTGATACCTAATAACAGAGACCACAGCAGTGGTTCTCCATAGTGTTATCTGATGATAGAGAAACTGAATACACAGGTAGCGCTCAGTCTTGTTGGTCTCAGTTTGGCCAGTAAGCAGGAAAATTAGCATAATTTCAGTCTTCATATATGTACAAAACTAAAGTCCAACTATCCCCCATTATCCTGATCATTTGTCTTCTATTTAATTACAAATTGTGCAAACAAGTACAATAGTTGACACCATCTGGTTTCTGGGATGTGTTGCTTGAATGCACATTGTATTAGGGCTGCAGCTAACGATTTTTTTCATAATCGATTAGTTGCCCGATTT